GACGTGTTCTTGATGCCGCTAAAAGAAACAACCAAACTGGGCACTTCCTGTGGGTGGGATCAGACAGCTGGGGCTCCAAGATCTCTCCTGTGATTGGCCAAGAGAGAGGTGGCAGAGGGCGCCATCACGATTCTTCCTAAGCGAGCATCTCGTTGATGGTAAGAACTTGTCATTTTAGCTCTGACTAATTTGCAGTTGAATAGACGATAACAATTTTAGGTACTCTAAAGTGTTGATTTAATTTAAGGTGGTAGCTTTTGCTGCATTCCTGCTAATATTTCTTGCTCTACACATCCAGTATTTTACATTTAAAAGGTTGGATATTCCACAAATCCTTTTGTTTTTAAAGGTTACATCATCTATCACAAAGCTTGGCAGCAGGCAAATGGTTAGTAAGTTTTCATCCGAAGATAATATGACTGCACTTTGTGTGAGATTTATAACGTCAGATAAAACCTCATTAGTAACTTGTCGAGGGGAATAAGAAAATTCTGGGTTTCTGTTTCCCTATTATTATTATTTTCTTCTGCAAATCTTCAAGATCCAGGTTTACATGCGTCCTGCAACTTTATTTAGTTTATGTGTTTCAAAGAGACGAGCATGGCATCAACATGGCACGCTTGTTCCCATAAATGGGTGAATGACTGGCAGCAGTGTAAAGCATTTTGGAGTCCTTTGACTCAGAAAAGTGTTTTACAAGGGCAGGCCATTCATCATTTGTCATTTATTTACAAACTTATGTTCAAGTTTCTTGAAACTGGTGAAACCCTTGCAAATCCGAGGAACCATCATCTTTTTCACACCTGAGAATTACAGTAAAGATCCACAGAAAAGAGCCTCTCAACACCAAAGTCTGTCTCAGTTCAGAGAAAAATCAGATTCTGACCTCGGTGATCCCAACGACTAACTCGATGTTCGAGGATGACAAGAGTCAGGATCATCAGAGTACCTCCAAAAATTGGGAATGGAGATGTTGGAATACCCAGCTCTTTTTCCAGACTTCAAACCCCCAAATCTCACACTTTGAATGATCAAACTAGCAAATTGCATCACTTTTTACTTTTGGAAATTGTAAAGAAAAATCAGTGAGCAGCAGCGTCAGATGTACAATTATTTGGAATTATACAAAAAAAAAAAACCTTTCTGGAACACATTGATTGCTAAGAGAGCAAATTTAAGGTGGCCTTTGTAATCAAGAGTCGCGTTTCCTGCGTTAATTGCTTATCTTGTTTTAGTTAACTTTTCATAAAATCTGCTGCTGCATTTCACCGTAGTTCCCAAGTGTAAGAGACGATTATTCCGATTAGCTCTACGGTAGGATCTCAGCAGCAGTTCGACTCCCACATTTTCCTTTGTCCATCTTTGTTAAGCGTCCTTTGTGCTAAAGTATCATATTTAGTCCCCAAGTTAAGAGTGGACGTGACAAAGCGCTCTGCTGATTTAAATTAGTCGACTTAGAATGAGTTGTTGTCACTGCAATTTGTTCATTTTTCCGCAACTAAATGCTGCGCAGCGTGCATCATTTAGCACAGCAGTGAGCGAACACATTGATGCTTGGCACTGATCCTGTCAACGGAGGAAACACTTTCCTGGCTCTCTTATTAGTCCCCCCGCGCCCCACCCATCTCTACTGTTTACACTTGGTTGTTTTGTATTTCTCACTTTTTGGGGGGGATCTCACTTTTCCTGGGAAGCTTACATTTAAGTTTTGGTATATCACACCTGCGATCACAGCTGGGGGCATGTGATCCCACCTGACATGTGCTTCCTGTCGAGTAAACCCAACTGTTCCCAGCAGTCTGTCTATCAGGAAAGCTGCACAGGTACACACCAAACCCGTATCTGTGACAGCAGACAAGATCAATCTGAGCAGCTCTTGTCAGCTTTACAGAGAGACAGACATGGCACATGGTGTCTAAGTCGATCTGATAGTTCCTTGCTGCACCGTGTCACTGCTAAACTCCACAGCGTGCTGCTTTGGAGAGTGTGTGCATTAGTTTAGCGTGTATGTGAGGTTCAGAAAAGAATAAGCAATTTTTTCAGTGTCTACTTCTCTTTGAAGGTGCAATATGTAAGAAGTAAAGTGAGAATTGCATCCAGTGGTCGAATATGGTTACTGCACCCCATTTTCCTAAGACAGGCATCACTTTTCCACTGTCATTCCATGAGTTTTAATGGCAGTTGCCAGATACGAATCAGCGCCAGAAGATTCTAGATAACAAGTGAAGGCGAGTTGTAACCAATAAGCTGATAAGTAGATACATTCATTGTGATGTCTGGTGTTAGCACTCATTGGGTGTTTTATGGTAGAGATCACCTACTACATTTATTACAGTAGTATGTCACTGACATTAGAGGAAGTGTTGTTGTTTACCGTCTTGCTGTTAGCTTGCTGTTATAGCTCTGAACAACTCATTAAATGAAGTAAAACGCCACGATTGACTCATTATTCCCCTCACACATACATTTCACTAAAACATCGAGTTTTGGTAGCTGAAAAAGTGGCTTTAAATATTTTTAGAGCCGACAATTTGCTTCTAATTCACCGTTAGCCTCTAGCCTTCGTCACCATATATTAGAGTAAACTAAAAGGATATCGTGGCTTCTTAGAGATAGAAGAAATAACTTCTGAGTCGCTCGTGTTTACTAGCTTCGGTTCTTTAAACAACTGTGTAGCTTTTTGCCTGCTGGTGTGAATTACAAATTCCGGTGGAGCAGCGTTAGCTCGGCGGAGACATGGCAACCTCACAAACCACGTCCCTCTTTTGTTTTTGTGAATAGAAAAAAAAAAAACACAACCTCCCAGTCAGCTGAGACTGAAATATGTTTCAGTTTAACCTTCCTTCTAACATGACTGGGACATCAAACTGTTTAATTTAGCTGTAGAATTCTTTAATTTCTGCAAGTTTTAATAAATAATTTTATCTAAATGTCTTAATAAATTAGACATCTGACCAAGCGTTTATGCTTAAAATGTTTGGCTTTATAACTAAAGATACCCTTAACAAAAAGGCTTTTCAGTCATACAGAAGTCGCTCATATTCAGTTCCTTTGCTTGTCAAAAGTTATTCCACCGCTGTGGACACTTTTTTCCCACTCGAAAGTTCAGTGGAATTATAGTCCTTGCACCCTGAGGCACTAGAATCCTCTTCATACCCACACTGTTAAAAGGATCCAAGTCTTGAAGCCTCATATTTTTGGGAAAAGGAACACTGATTCAGTCTCCTCTACATGAGAAATATATTCCTCGGATGCCCTTCTCTGTTGTTTCTGCACAGCATTTGACCGGTACTTCCGTAGCCGCTCGCTGTCCAACAACAGAAGGAACGTTTGGTTTGCTGAATTCTGGGAAGAAAACTTCAACTGTAAGCTGGGAATGCACGGAAGACGGCCTGGAATTCTGAAAAAGTGCACAGGTAAGACTCGACAATTCCTACTTTTATTCCAGGGCTGTCAGCTGTAAATGACCAGAGGATGGTGCTGTTTTCAGATTGGATATGCTGGTGTGTACAACCTGTGTAAGTGCTGGTTGATCTAGTTTAGATACTCATATGTGTGCTGCGCAGTATTCCCTGGCTGATGCTGATGCCGTTAGTTCACATAATTAGGTTTGTAGGGTATGTGACTCCCATCGGCCTTCTCTCTAACCACGGCATCTGTGCACACTTGTATTGAGGATCCTTTACTGGTGTGATAGTCCATCAGTTCCAGCTACTTGGACTTTTGACATCCACATGATCGCCACAGAAGCCAGTCAGCAGCCAGCTGATCAAGGTCGCCGTGGTGACACCAGATGATGGGAATGTGTGGAAGTGGATGTGGTTATTGCAACTGTGATGACAGAGGCTAAAGGAAATAAGATGGTTTCACCAACACTGATTATGAGACTATAAACCTGTAATTAATACAAGCAGTAAAAGAAGTTTAATGCAAAGATCCACAACAACTTGGAATGAATCTTACTTTTCAAAACATTCTATCAGATGTTGGACTTTGTGATATCCAGTTGAGTTTCTTACACCACTGTGGATAAATAGTGTCTTGTTCTGCAGAATAGTTTTATTTCACTACACTGAAGGGTTTCCCATCAGAAACGGCCTGTTTGAGGTCAAAGGTCAGACCTTCTTCAGGATTTTCTGGTAGAGAGCAGAATTATTGATTCTATCCATTACAGCAATTTGTTAATGTTCTGGAGCAGCAAAGCAGTCTCAAACCATCACACTACCACCACCATGTTTGTTGTAGTTTTTACTCCAGGATTCATTCAAACGTTCCACTTTTGTCCCGAAAGTGCACCGAATATTTTTTCTACCACTATGTGGTATCACCATAGAAACCGTGGATAAACTCTGTTGGCATCCATAAGGTTGGCCCATATTTATCAATATGGGATCCACCTATGCATGCTAGCTGGATTTTACAAAAGTTTTAAAGTAAAATTGTCCAATTTTATTTTGGTGTCAGTCTCGATTACTTTGTTTGAGACTCCCCACATCTCCTTAAAACACACCCACATTGTTCAGTTTGTAATATTATAGGTGAAATGAATACCCTTGCTCGTCAGGGACAGGTGTTGATAAGTAAAAATAGTGAAATTTTCTGATATAAATGAATTAACTAATGTGATAAATATTGAACTGATAAAAGTTAAAAACTGGTTTGATGTAAATAAATTAACACTTAATCTTAAAAAAAACTAATTTCATTCTATTTAATGACAAAGAAAATATAGACGTAATATTAGAAATAGATAACATGGAAATTCAAAGGGTAAAAGAAATCAAATTTTTGGGAGTAATGATTGATGAAGCTCTAAGCTGGAAATCACATATAGGCTATATAAAAGGTAAAATGGCCAAAGCCATTGCAGTATTATATAGCGTAAAGTTTCTACTTAATAGTGAAGGATTGTTATTACTATACAATGCACTGATTCTGCCATACTTAAATTATTGTGTAGAAATCTGGGGAACTGCAGATAGAACGTATACACAACCTTTGTTTGTTTTGCAGAAAAGAGCAATGAGAATTATAGACAACACTCATAGTACAGCTCCATCTAACCCATTATTTATAAAATATAAAGTAATTAAATTTCATGATTTGGTCAACTGGAGAATATTGCATATCATGTATAAAGCAAATAAAGGTACATTGCCAAAGAATATTCAGCATATATTTGAAAAGAGAGATAGCAGTTATTCGTTGAAGGGATTTGAAACCTTCAAAAAACCTAAATTTAGAACAAGAATGAAGGAAATGAGCATATCTGTGAATGGTGTGAAGTTGTGGAATTGCCTGGACAGAGAATGGAAAGAGGCAAGAACTCTAAAAGTGTTCAGTCTACACATTAAATCACGTGTGTTGAGAGGATATGACAACAGACAATTGATGTGGACGTAATAATTAACAAATGTGAACAGTTACGGGACTGAAAGAATTGATGAGGGACTGCACAAATATAAATTGATATTTAAGTTTAAAAAGGGGGCAGAAATAATAAGATTGTTCTTCTATCTGCTCCCTTTCATTCAAATATACATTGTGTTTTTTGAATATTGTTTAGTATCTGTTGTGTTATTTTTTTTATTGAATGAAATAAAGATAATAAAAAAAAATATATATTTTCCGAGAGCACATTATTTTTTTCAACTTATATCATCACAACAGCTGGCACAATGAACAACCGTAAGGCCCTGAGACACGGCTCACAGATTGGTCGATTGAGATGCTAGAATAAAAGTTGTTTGAGTGAAAACATCCTGCCAGGTAAGACTGATGCATGATGGGAAGCCAACTGTGGCAGACACCAGATTACAGATAACTCATGCTCACACACACGTTTGTGTTTCCAGTGGCTTCAGATAAACTCCTGAATGAAAGCAGAAGCTTCGCTCTGCTGCAGGAAAAAGCTCATCCACACAATGTTGGTGCCCATTTCCCCACATGGACATGTTGATGGATCCAGTGCACCAGTGGACGGCATTAACGGTGACAGGAGAGGTTAGCCTCAGGTGGAAGAGGGAATGGATGGGGAAACCATGTTGTTACACTGCTGTCATTACGTGTGCAGTCTCAGGACAATGGTGTTTGTCCCTTTTTGTGCACTTCTGGTTTTTCCATTCATAAAATACTTTAATGCGATTGTTTTATTTTCTATTTCTGTAACATAATTGGAAAACATCAACCCAGAAAAGAATTCTGAAAACTGATTTTATTGGTTGAAACTTTAACAAGGTAACAAAATGAACCTTTTATTTGCTGAAGCATGATAAATCAATTAGCACAAAGCCTGTCAACACAGTGTAGGTATGTTGCATTAATATTTTTTAATAAAAATAACTTTAATCACAATCCTGCTAGATCCGAGCTTGGTGATTACTCTCAAAAACAGGAGCTTTAAGCTCAGTATCTGTAAAATTGATAGATGCCTTTATTTTGTCTGCTAAACAGGTTGTTGGTAGCCATCTTGAATTGAGTTGACGCCATAAATAATCAGTTGTAGCCGCACATGTCCAGTGGTTCAAAAGATCTTCTGAAAACAAAACAAAAACACATTAAAGAGCAAGTCAACCCCTACCAGATTCTTACTCAACTCCCACTTCCTGTTTGAAAAATGCAACAAATGCTGTTGCCTAGCAGACCGAGAGGGCGGAGCCGCTAACAAACACACACACTCACAGTATTGTGACATCATAATGTACCATCTAACATCATAGTGTACCTCTTAGCCAATAGCGATGGCAGATTTAAATTTGAATGCAGTGCTGAGTTTTTACCTGACGACGGTGCATCACTGACGGTTTTAGGCAGAAAATTTAAATTTTAACTAAGATGCACTAAAGTGCCGAATTATTGACTACACGTGTCTGCAGCACGATCAGACACTCATTTATATAGTTTATCAGCAAGAAAATGTTGATTTGGAGTGACTTGCTCTTTAAAACAAGCAACCCCGTGATGATTTACCTACAAATGACACAATTAGTTATTTTTAATCAAACTTCTGAACAATATCATTTGCAAGCTTTTATGAACTAAAATACTACAGAGAGCATCTTGTCATGTTTTCTGTTTTCCAACTGTAAATGTTTCAAATGCAGATGATGATGATGATGATGATGTATCCTTATGAAGAGTCATCATGTCATTCATGAATGACTAGTTTTGTAGGTTGGGTTAACAGGTCCAGCACTTATTGAGAAGCCATGAAGTTAGAACAGGTTGAATAACATAGATTTTCAACATTTTCCCAAATGAAATTTGGGCTTTGAGGTCATGTGTGTGTAGTTCCAACGTCATGGTCGGCCTTCACTCATTATCATGATTCCACTGAGATTCTACATTATTTTTCATCTTTGGGAGTTTTTCCTGTAACTTATTTCCTCATAGCCAAACAGTCTTATGAAATGTCTGCCAACACACACACACACACACACACACACACACACACACACACACTCACACACACACACACACACACACACACACACACACACACTTGAAAAGAGCTCTACATTTCCCTAGTTTCACATAAATAATTGAAACCTCACAGAGTGTTATTAATGATGAATTTGTCTTCTAAAGGCTACTAAGTGATCGTTTGATGCCCTTGCTGTCTGGACGTGCCAGAGCTTTTCTTACTCGGCAAAAACTATGGGTTTGATGCTGCAAAGCATTCCTCAATAACTTGTGATTTGGTGTGTCTCGGTGAAATGTGCACCACCAGTCAATGTATTGATCACGTCCTGTCTTAGTCCAGTTCACACACATTTACTGCTGTGCACAGGCACATGGCTTCACATGTTCTCAGGAGGCAGACAGGGGAGGCCAGCAGGGTGACTAAACTGCTTCTGTCACTGGGAAAAGGACGTCAGATGGATGCAAAGATGTAGAAGCCACTGAAGGTAGTGGTGGATAATTAGAGACAAAAATACTTGTTTTTCTGCGGGAAGTAGATAAAGTGCTAAACGTTTACCTGCAGTGAAGTGGTTTTATTCTTGCTAAGATGACCTCTGATTGTGTGCAGATGTGTGGGTGTTGGTTCAGGGTGGCAGTTGTGACTTTGAGACTTTAATAAAGTTGTTTTCTGTAGACAGCGTGACTGGGTGTGATCTGAAACCACTGGTTACCATCACAGACACAGATGCTGAGTTAAACACACACCAATTCATACTGGTTAAATAAACTTCCTCAGAGGCTCTTAAATCATTACAAAAAGAAACCAGCCACACTGCACTGATTAACTGTTATGTTATTAAGAGGGTTTAAAAAGCTGATTTTTGACACTTTTTGCCTGCTAGGAGTAGATAACGCTGCACTCACACCTGGCGTCACCCAGAGCTAACAGAGCAACAGGACTATTTACTTAGAGCAATATTTCTGGCTACTTAAAGCTAGTTTACCATAAATCCTC